TTGCTTGAAGCCGGGAGGTGGAAGTTGCAGTGAGCCCAGATTGCACCACTGCACCACTCCGGGGTGGGCGACAGAATGAGACTCTGTCTCAAAAACACAATAAAAAAAAAGAATGATCCGGTCCCAAATGCCAGGGGTGCCAAGCCTGAGAACCCCGGCGCCAGTGGTGATTTTCTACCCACGACTTCTTGGGAGGAAAGTTAGGCAGAACCTAGGCCATTCTGAGTGTGTGCAGCCTCTGATTAAACAGTTCCACTTCCAGAGACGCAGCCTGCAGAGCCACCTGCATCTGGGCAAAGATGCAGAGAGACGAGGGTACCAGACGCCCTGCAGGACCGCATGTACAAAACGGAAGACGGGAACACCTAAGCGACCATCACTAAGGGGCTGTTCAAATAAATGATGGCACAGTCACAGACTTGAACGGGAAGTATTAGAGCTGCTACGGAGAATGGCATGAACCTGCAATCTCCGCCTACCAGGTTCAGGCAGTTCTCCTGTCTCAGCCTCCCAAGTGGCTGGGATTACAGGCATGCATCACCATGCCTAGATATTTTTTTGTATTTTTAGTAGCAGTGGAGTTTCACCATGTTGGCCAGCCTGGTCTCAAACTCCTAACCCCAGGTGATCCACCTGCCTCGGCCTCCCAGAGTGCTGGGATTACAGGTGTGAGCCACCTCACCTGGTCTCTCCAGCATACTTGAAGAGCCACTTGCTCACCCCATTGAGCGAGGGAGGCTTTCCAAATTCCTGTGTTTCCAGCTTTCTTTCCCACATTCCGTTTTGAGCTCTGTGGTCCTGCCACACCACACTTTCTTCCTTTCTTCCTTTTTTTTTTTTTTTTTTGATGGGGTCTTGCTCTGTCACCCTGGCTGGAGTGCAGAGGCACAGTCATGCTCACTGCAACCTCCACCTCCCAGGCTCAAGCGATCCTCCCACCTCAGCCTCCCGAGCAGCTGGGACTACAGGAGCATGCCCCCAAGCCCCACTAACTTTTGTGTTTTTTGTAGAGACGGGATTTTGCCATGTTGCCCAGACTAATCTCGAACTCCTGAGCTCAAGTGATCCTCTTGCCTCAGCCTCCCAAGTAGCTGGGACTACAGGCATGTACCATCACACCCAGATAATTTTTAAATTTTTTGTAGAGAAAAGGTTTCACCTTGCTGCTCAGGCTGGTCTTGAACTCCTGAGCTCAAGCGATTCACCCACCTTGGCCTCCCAAAGTGTTGGAATTACAGGCATGAGCCACTATGCCCAGCCAGCCTGCCTCCTTTCTAATACCAGGTCAAGAGAGCAACTCCTCCAGGAAGCCTTCCTGGAGGCCCCCAAATCCCTTTTTTACTGTGTCCATCACAGTAGTGACTATGAACTCAAAAGCCCCATCAGGGCCAGGCAGTACCACAAATGAGTCAAGTGGGCTGTTTGATTCAGACATAGATAAGCTTCACAGATAAAGGGTTAATAAATATTCTCTTCAAATATGCACTTTCCCACTTTTCTTAAAAAAAAATAGCCTTCTCCAGACCTTTTCTTTTCCACTTTCCACCTCCATTTTTGATAGAGAAATAGCTTTAAGAAACATCTTGGCTGGGTGTAGTGGCTCACATCTGTAATCCTAGCGCTTGGGAGGCCAAAGTGGGAGGATCACTGAAGCCCAGAAGTTCCAGATCGGCCTGAGCAACATAGCAAGACCCCATCTGTATAAAAAACTACAAAAATTACCAGGATGTGGTGGTACACGTCTACGGTACCAGCTACATGGGTGGCTGAGGCAGGAGGATCACCTGAGCCCAGCAGTTCCAGGCTACAGTGAGCTGAGATTGTATCACTGCACTCCAGTCTGGGCGACAGAGTGAGATCCCATTTCAAACAAACAAAAAACAAGAAATAGGCCGGGCGTGGTGGCTCATGCCTGTAACCTCAACACTTTGGAAGGCTGAGGCCAGCAGATCTTGGGATCAGGAGATCGAGACCATCCTGGCTAACATGGTGAAACCCCATCTCTACTAAAATACAAAAAATTAGCCAGGCGTGGTGGCACACGCCTGTAGTCCCAGCTACTCAGGAGGCTGAGGTAGGATAATTGCTTGAACCTGGGAGGGGGAGGTTGCGGTGAGCCGAGATCGCGCCACTGCACTCCAGCCTGGGCAACAGAGCAAGATTCCATCTCAAAAAAACAAACAAACAAAAAAACCACACACACAAAAACACCAAGAAATATCTTAATTTCCCTTTTAAAATCTACAATAAGAAAAACAGCAGCGGCCACACGTTAATACAGGGCTAGTGCCCTTAGGTCTTGGTTTGGAGTGACGAGGGAAGGGTCTCTTCGGCTTTAGCTGGTAACTGCCCCAGGGAAAAGCAGCCCTGGTCTCATCAAAGCTGATTTTTCAAAAGAAGCTAGAAATCAATCCCATTTTAAGCTCAATTTTAAAAATTTGACACCACATTCAAATTTAAAAAATGATACTGCCAGGTTCTGTATGGCCAGACCCTCACAGCACGTGCTGGATGGAGTCTGCAACTCTGCAGTGAATCCTGGGTTCCAGTGTCTGTCCTCCCTGCTGACCTCCAAGTTCTTTGGGGGCAGAAAGCAGAGTGCAGCTGTGACTGGGGCCCCAGCACCAGCCCAGAGCCTCCGTGCACAGGGGCGCGGATTAGCTCTGCCGCAGGGGATGGCCTTTCTCCTAGAACCACACTGGCTGCTCCCAAGACACACACGTCTTGAGCCCTGGGGTCCCCCTACCTGCAGGCTGGCCACATTCGCCACTCCATGGTCCATGCTCAACAGCTCCTCATGGGTGTCCAAGGCGCTCCAGACCTGGCTGCCCTCCCCAGATCCGCTCAGCCACTGCCTCTCTCTCCAGGTGCCCAGGGTCACCCTCACCCCCATGTATGTCTGACAGGCTCTCACCTCACCGTCAAAACATACCTCCATGTTAGACCATCCGGAATGTCGCTCATTTTCTTAGATGCAATAACAGTGTTTGTAATTCTGTAAGAATGTCTTTTTTTTGAGGAAGGTCTCAGCCTGTGACCCAGGCTGGAGTGGTGTGATCACGGCTCCTGCAGCCTTGACCTCCCAGGTTCAGTCAATCCTGCTGCTTCAGCCCGAGACTACAGCTGCGGGCCACCATGCCCGGCTCATTTTTGCATTTTTTTGTAGACATGAGGTTTCATCTTCTTGCCTAGGGTGGTCTCAAACTCCTAGGCTCAAAAGATCCTCCTGCCTTCGCCTCCCAAAGTGCTAAGATTATAAGCATAAGCTACTGTGCCCAGCCCAGAATGTCTTTATTTTTAAAAGACGTGTGCTGCCATGTTTAGGGATGAAATGCCCTGTGATCTGTAACTTACTTTCAAATGGTCCCAGAAAAAATACAGACAAAGCAAATAAACCCCAACAGCCAACAACTGCCAAGTTCAGCAGGTGGACATCCAGGACGCTGTTCTTTCAACTTTTCTGTAGAGACTCAAAATAAATACACACATAGATATTTTTGTACACAGTCACACACACACTCTCACCATCACTCCACCATCTGTTCTTTTTTTTTGAAAGAAAGTCTCACTCTGTCGCCCAGGCTGGAGTGCAGTGGTGCACTCACGGCTCACCGCAGCCTCCAGCTCCTGGGGTTAAGGGATACTCTGCCTCAGCCTCCTGAGGAGCTGAGACCACACGTACATGCCACCATGCCCAGCTCATTTCTGAAATTTTTGTGTAGAGACAGGGCCTTGCTATGCTGCCCAGGCTGGCCTCAAACTCTTGGCCTCAAGTGATATTCCTGCTTCAGCCTCCCAAAGCATTAGGATTACAGGTGTAAGCCACCATTACTGGCCAATGGTTTGATTTTTATTTATTTACTTGTTTTTGAGACAGGGTCTTATTGTCACCCAGGGTGGAGTGCAGAGGCGTGATCACGGCTCACTGTAGCCTTGACCTCCTGTGCTCAAGTGATCCTCCTACCTTGGCCTCCTGAGTAGCTGGGGTCACAGGTGTGTGCTGCCACACTTGGCTAATTTTTTTTTTTTTTTTTTAGACATGAGGTCTTGCCATGTTGCCCAGGCTGGTCTTGAACTCCTGGGCTCAAGCAGTCCTAAAGTGCAGGAATTACAGGCATGAGCCACTGCACCTGGCCGTGTGTGTGTGTGTGTGTGTGTAAGCAGCATGGCTGTTTATTCACCTGGGTGCAGGTGGGCTAAGGCTGAAAAGGGCTTTAGCCTGGCCTAATTTTATTTTTTTGAGATGGAGTCTTGCTCTGCTGCCCAGGCTGGAGTGCAATGGCACGATCTTGGCTCACTGCAACTTCTGCCTCCCAGGTTCAAGCAACGCTCCTGTCTCAGCTTCCCAAGTAGCTGGGATTACAGGCACATGCCACCACGCCGGGCTAATTTTTTGTATTTTTAGTAGAGACGGAGTTTCACTGTATTCTCTCGGCTAGTCTCGAACTCCTGAGCTCAGGCAATCCACCCGCCTCGGCCTCCCAAAGTACAAGGTTTACAGGCGTGAGCCACTGTGCCTGACCCTTTCTGATTTTTTTTTTTTTTTTT